CTTTGGAGCCCTGGTTCCGCTCGATCGCTTCTTTAATACGAGCAGTATTAAAGTTGCGTAAGTCTCGCCGCATGCATTTGGAGATCTGTCTGTTCAGTTGCCTGTATGCTGTCAAATCTGTTGACGATTGCAGCCTCATCTCCCGTCTAATAGCCATGAGATTAAGAGTGTGATCGGAGAGTTTTTGTGTTCTTCTGCGGCGGGTCTTGCAGAACTTCGCTCCGACCGCATGGACAGTTTCCACGAGCTTGTCATTCATATCGTCCACTGCATTGCAATCTTCTAGGCACTGGAAGCGGTTACGTAACTCGAGCTGAAAGGTTTCGGGATTCTGGATTAGAGCACGAGGGGGACGGAGCGTTGACTTCATTAGACGAGACCTCTCCAACTTAACGTTTAGGTTCAGTGTGCCTCTAACCATTCGGTGATCGCTGCCACTTTTCACCCTTACGATCACTGAGACATCACTGAACAGTTGGCGTCTGGTCGTCATAATGAAGTCAATCTCATTTTTTGTCGAACCGTCGGGGCTCGACCAGGTCCACTTCCTGTGGGGCCGCTTCTGGAAGAAAGAGTTCATCATAAAGAGTCCCTCTTTCTCCATAAAGTCGGCCAGCTGCTGGCCCCTTCGGTTCCGTTGCCCTACTCCAAATTTCCCTAACTTCAGCTCACCGTTTTCTCTTGTGCCTAGTTTTGCGTTGAAGTCTCCCATCAACACCGTGTAGTGGGTTTTGGAGGAATGTATGGCTTTAGAAATATCCTCATACATTTCCTCCACCTCCTCATCGGAATGTGCCGACGTTGGTGCGTAAACCTGTATGACCTTCAGCGAATACCGTTTGGTGATTCTGAGTATCAGGTACGCGACCCTCGTCGACATACTCTCAATCTGTACAACGTTGTTGACGAGAGACTTGTGGACGATAAATCCGACACCTCCTTGGGACAGATGGTCGCCCTCCCGGTGATAGAACAAGTTGCCGGATTCGAGAAACACCGTGTCCTCCCCCTCTCTTCGGACCTCGGATAATCCTATAATACTCCAGCGCAACTTGTCTATCTCTTCTTCCAGCTCCAGGATCTTCTCGTCAGTCCTCAGTGTGCGTGCGTTAAATGTTGCCAGGTCGAGTCGTCGTAGGTGGTAACCGAACCTTCACCGGAGATTCTTAGCACCCCCCTGCCCCGCCGTTACCATGGTCGCCACCGTAGCCAGGAATAGCGGGGCCGCCGGGGACTGGGGGCCGTCTATTTGTGTAATTGTTCATGGGGGGTATATTGCCATAGTTGCCACGCTTGGCGAGCGGGTTGGCAACCGCAGTTTTTTTTTTGTCGTACAGTTGCTGTTATCAGGAAGATGCTGCTGCCCATCTCCTGCCTGTCTCCCTCTGTCGCCTCTTACGACACCCACGGGAAGATATGGGGTAGTGGATATTCTTGACCGCCACTACACGGAGAAGAAGAAACATGGCAGCATTAATTCCCCATTTTACACTGTTACTCTGTGATGGCGTGGTCCTACCCCGGTCGAGCCGACCCATTTGTACTACAACTATAATATAGCTGCAGATTGGATCTACCACGTAAATATAGCTGTAAATATCCCTGTTTTGATTCCTGTGTTCTATACAGACAAAGTCATAATTTATTTTATGTTGTTCTTTGAAAAAAAATCAATCCCGTCTAGATTTCAAGGAGAAAACAGTTCTCCTGTTTTGTTAAAAATGCTTATTAAAGTCTTGATGGCAAGCGAATAACTTACGCCCTCAGTTTAATACTAGACAGTTTATTCTTTATTACATACAGACACTTCCATTTGAGATTTTGAGGTATGTATCGATTGTACAACCAATGCGTGTTGCCAGTGATGACCTATGGGTCTGAGACGTGGTCCTCCACTGCTGGCCATATAAGGAAGCTCAAAGTCGCTCAGCGAGCCATGGAGAGAGCTATGCTCGAAGTTTCTCTGCGTGATAAACTTAGAAATGAGGTTATCCGCAGTAGAACCAGTGTAACTGACGTAGCCCAACGGATTAAGTGGCAATGGGCCAGCCATATAGCTCGAAGAACCGACAATCGATGGGGAAAAAAGGTTATCGAGTGGCAGCCTCGTATCGATAGGCGAAGTATACGGCAACCCCCCACTAGATGGAGTGACGACCTGGTAAGACAGGCAGGAAGTCGATGGATGCAGGTGGCTCAGGACCGTGCTTTGTGGCATTCCTTGGGGAAGGGCTATGTTCAGCAGTGGACTTGTGAAGGGCTGTAACGATGATGATGATGACATTCATAGTAGATTTAATTATTTATTTACTTATTTATTTATTTAGGATAATTGCATATCATTACCCTTCATTACGAAACTGAGAAGTAAAGTAAAAACTAACAATTAGCGTCTTGATCCCTACGCTATTCTTAGTATATATTAATAATTTGCGTTGTGTGAGTGGCAACAGGGGCAGAGTTTTTTCATACGCAGATGACATTGTGATGTTGTCTTGTGGAGAAACTTAGGAAAAAGTACTTTGAATGTTAGTAAATACACAATTCATATTTCAATTCATATTTTTCTCAAAGGAGGATTTTCCTTTCTTCAAGAAACTCAATTCATATTTTTTTCTATAACTAGCCGATCACAACCAAAGGATTATTTTAAAATCAAAATACATAAATGTAACAATCCTTCCAGCGGTAACTCTAAGTTTACAATATATAATCTTAGTTTCGTATACAAAATATCTGGGCGAGCAACAAGCAGTTGTCAATTAGTGTCTAGTAGAATTAGAAACCTCACTTGGATATTTAAAACTTTAGTTGCCTGTTATGTTGCCTGATTAGATCTTTTCAATCAAATATATGTAGCGCTTGATCAATACATTATAATATTAAATATAATATATTGTATACCAATTTGGGTAGGGGGCACTTACAAAAGTAAATTTATTGAAGTTGAGAGAGCTCAGAGAAATTTACTGAAAACCTTCAGAAACCTACGCATAACCATGCATTTTACTCCTTGATACTCCACTAGCTATTTGTATTCATCTTGTGGGCTGATTTCTATGAGACATAGTACAAACTTTATGAAAAAAAATATAAAAGTCTTTGTTTAATGATTTCTTAAATTTATGCGAACACTACACATTGAATAAAAAAGGTTGTATGGGTTAAAAGAGGTTGTATGGGTTACCGAAGATACACAAACCAAACGCTCCACTACGTCCTATAGTGATCCAGATCGATTCACCAACTTATAAGCTGGCACAACACTTGGCAAAAATACTGTCACCACTGAGAGGGCATACCAGAGCACACACAAAGGATTCATACCATTTTGTTAGTGAGATAAAAGACCGACATCTCGCTGACAATGAAACTATGGTCAGTTTTGATGTTCAGTCACTATTCACATGCCTACCTATTGAAAACTGCATCTCAATTGTAACTAGGAAGCTAGAAGATAACAACATGCCTGCTGAATATGCAGTATTACCCAAACATTGCCTCACATCTGGCTATCTATTTTGGAAGGAAGAGTTCTACAAGAAAGTAGATGGTGTGGCGATGGGCTCACCTGTATCTCCCATAGTCGCCGATATATTTATGGAGGAAAACCCTTCTTACTGCTCCTGTAAATCCAAGATTCTACAAGCGGTACGTAGATGACACTTTCACAATTTTACCATCTGCCAAAGTGACTGCATTCGAAATCCTGATAACACTATTGGTCACACTGTGTATAGAAAAAAGACCCATACCAACCGATATTTAAATGGTGAATCTCACCATCACCTTCACAGTTAGCTACCGTGGGTAAATCTTTGTTTCAGAGATCACGAGGAATCTGTGACAGAAAACATCTGGCCGCCAAGCTTCAGCATGTCAAGCAAGTGTTGCAAGACAACAAGCTTCGGATTCCGCTCCTAATACAGTGACCGAGTGAAGCCGGCCACAGTCAAGCGTGTGCCTGCTGTACTACCATATGTCAGAGGAGTCACAGACAAGCTTGGCTACATCTTGAAGCAAACTTCCATTAAAACATACTACAAGCCGCCGAAGAAGATTAGTCTACTTTTACCATCCGTCAAGTGTAATATCCCTCTGCAAGGTGCAGGAGTGTACAAGTTAGATTGTGAATGTGGTATCTCTTACATAGGTCAAACAAAAAGATCCATAAAAACCCGCGTGAAATAACACATAGCTGACGTGAAGCACCGACGTTCCGGGAAGCCTGCAGTCTGTGATCATGTTCAAGATCGCCCCCACCATTACATCAGATTTGATAAACCACAAATCCTCGCAAAAGAACACCGATTCCTACCAAGGATGATACGTGAGGCTATGAAAATTAAAAAGCATTCTAATTTCAATAGAGAAGATGGTTGGGTGCTGCTTGGGATCCTATAATTAACAAAATTAAACCCAAACCCAAGCATACCACTGCAAGACTTCAAGATACTGTAAGTTCGTTTTGCGTAAATCGGACCAAAAATTAATATTCAAAAACTGAAGGTAGCCGGGCTAACAATGACATTGGGACGTCAAACGTCTCAGTCCCCCCCGTGACCATGGGTGCTGTAAAGCACCCGAAACGTCGGGGATTAAAAATAAGTAAAATCAGTTAAATAAACGCGATAGAATCCGTAAATTTAGTTTTTATTCAATAAGTCTTTGTTGTTTAATCCTCATAGTGTAGTAGAAGAAGAAATTGTAGCGTTGCTCCTATTTAGAGAACGAAAACTACTTTGCGAAACATCAATACGACAAATAAACAGAACACTTTTATAATCTCTTTTTTGAATGTACTTAGCTAAGAGAGGGCGTGGATCCTCTACCACAAGTATCTTTTTGCTTAAAAGAAGTCCTCAAACTTGTACTACTTTAAGAATAATAAAGTATAAGATTTCATTTTATTTCACAATTGTGCATGGAAACTTAACATTATCACAGCATGCATATTTTAAACCGAACAAGATAATAGTTATTGTACTCTGTTATCCACGATGAAAGAGATCATGGAACAAAATATAGACATTCAAAAATCCATTGAGTTCTTAGCCCAAAAGTATGATGAACTTACTCAAAAAGTCGGTTCTTTGGAAAATGAAAATAAGCACCAACTTGAGTATATTAACTCACTGGAATCTAAAATTGACATTTTAGAACGTAACTCAAAGGCAACAACAGTTGAAATACGTAACATACCGCTTAACCAGAAAGAGACAAAGGATGACCTACTGAAAATCGTACAAGAGGCAGGAAATTTAATAAATCTACCCATAGAAAAAAAGATATCAGTGATGTCTATAGAATAAACAAGCAACAACAAAAACAACAAACAACCACTAAAACCACTAATCAAAAACCTGTAATAGTTCACTTTAGTAGCATACTCGTGAAAGAAAATTTTATAAAATCAGTAAAAAAATTCAACAAGGACAATCCTGGAAATACACTTAACACAACGCATTTAAAAATAAACAATACATCCACGCCGGTATTTATCTCCGAAGGCCTGACAGCAAAAACTAGGAAGCTTTTCTTTTTAGCTAGAGAATTCACCAAAATGCATAAATACTCCTTTTGTTGGACGTCTAATGGAAGAATATACATCAGAAAAACCGAAGGTATGCCACATATACGTATTGATAACGAAGAACAACTTCTAAAATTAAAAGATAAATGACTAGGTTTATTTAAATCGGCATACCTAAAAGCCTATTTCCTATATTATAGTATAAACATGAGATTAATTCTTACTTATTACAATTTACGATATTTTTTAACATGTATATACATATTTTTTGTTGCGTGCACTTTAACTTATTATCTACACAACACACACTCAATTACATACACATACAATTTAATTACTTACAAGCTAACTAGAATGATATGCATACGAACTTTTTTCAAAAATTTCAAATATCTTATAAAATATATTGTTATTCACAACTTTATAATAGTGTCTTGCCTTATTCCCTAGAATGTAGAATTACCAAAACGAGCAAAAGTAATATAACGACTTATTTATACAGCACGAACGTTCCTTATGCTCTTAGTGATAAGTATAAAAACTTACCAACGAAATACTTGTCAACGAAATTCTTTATTTTCCGATCAATTCAAGTGCGACATCTTATTATTAAAAATAGTAAAAGGCGCTAACTTAAATGATATCTCTATTGAAATTGATTCACTTTCAGTAGCGAATGTTTATAGCTGCACGCCGGATAAATGTCTTGATTTTGTAACTAAACCAAATCTTGCGCTAAAAATAATTCATCAAAACATTCGTAGTATCAACAAAAATTTTCATGAATTTATCTCTATGATGAGCATGACTCAGGTGAACATGGATATTTTGGTCTTTACCGAGTGTTGGCTTAAATCTGCTGTAACAACTCCTCATCTTGATGGTTTCGCATCTTTGGCCACCCGTAATAATCCTATACAAAATGATGGAGTCGTTGTTTATGCAAGGCTAGATCTTAACTGTAAAATATACGAGCCAATCCTTAGTGAAGCAAATTGCCTTGTGTGTTACACCAATGACACGGCTGTATATGTATTTACCGTTCTCCATCATACGCAGACATCAACATTTTCTTGAACAGCCTGGAAAACTTGATATCCACGTTGAGCTCCTATAACAATATAGTTTTAATGGGAGATATTAACATTGACGTTAAGGATGATAATCATGATAAACGCTCCCATGAATACCTAAATTCTCTAGCCATGCTAGGTTTTTTACCAGCTCATAATAAGCCGACTCGTTTAGAAAACTGTCTCGATCATATTTTGCTGAAAACCAAGCTGGATGCATGTGTTATAATTCTTGAAACTGCAATAACTGACCATGTACCTACTCTTCTGCTACTATATAAAAAGCATAAATGGAAACATCATGCCGCGAAAACCAAAAAATATTTAAACTTTGTGGAAATCAAACGCGAATTAGATAATTACGACTTTGAAGTCGTTTTGAAAGAATCAGATCCTAATATTGCAACTAATGTATTTATAGATATCGTGGGCTGTATTATAAAGAAACATTCCTCAGTTAAAACCATTTCAAGAAAATTTCGTACAGTCAAACCCTGGATGACACCCGGTCTCATCCGATGCATCCGAAATCGTGATTCTTTGCACATAAAGGCTAGAAAGTTGCAGGACAATATCACCATACAAATTACATATAAAAGATATCGTAACTTTCTACAAACTTTATTGAGAAAAGTTAGGTCAGAATATGAAAGATGTGAATTCCTTAAGGCAAAAAACAATATCAAAGAAACATGGAACGTCATTAAAAATATTACGAACACAAAAAAGATTAAAGAGTCTGCTAAAGATCTTCTAAGTTGTCACGGTAGCACTAAGGCGACGTTAAATGCTATAAACTCACATTTCGTTCAAGTCGGCAAAAAGTTGGCTTCCAAAATATCATGGTCCTTAGATGGTTCTCCTCCCATGTCACCTTCATCTAACAATAGCACATTTGTACTATTACCTGTTGATGAGCTACAAGTAGAAAATATCATAAACTCTCTGAGGAATAATTGCGCCGTTGGATGGGACGGAATACAATCTGACGTTATTAAATTATCATGCAAAGCGTTAACCTCACCTATAACGCACATTTGTAATACCTCAATTTCAACTGGGGTATTCCCTGACCTGATGAAGAAAGCTGTAGTCCATCCTATATTTAAATGTGGGGATAGGCATCAAGTTACCAACTATAGACCAATATCGGTTCTCAGTTCTCTATCTAAAATTCTAGAACGCATTCTTAATAATTCTTTGACTGATTTTCTTAAGAGATTCAACATCATTGCCGAGAACCAGTTCGGTTTTAGACCTGGTGTTTCTACCGAAGACGCTGTAATTGAACTTTCCCAAACAATAACTGCTAAGCTAGATGAGAAACAAAAATGCTATGGCATTTTCCTTGACCTCTCTAAAGCGTTCGATACCGTGTCTATCCCCATACTGATTTCTAAATTGGAATGTATCGGCATTCGTGGTCTGCCCCTTAGTATTTTCAGAAATTATCTCACTGGAAGGACCCAATGCGTAAAAATTGATGATAACTACAGCGACGAGGAGCATATAGAGTTTGGCGTGCCCCAGGGCAGCATTCTGCGCCCCACGTTCTTTTTAATCTACATCAATGATCTGTGTAGAATTAAGCTCGATAATTGTCGGATCTTCACCTATGCTGACGACACGTCCTTAGTAGTTTGGGGTGTAGATTGGATTCGTGCCAAACATTATGCAGAAAAAGCTATAGTAGAAGTTATGCTTTGGTTATCATCAAATTTACTGACCCTCAATATCGCAAAGACACAACTTATACGCTTTGATCTATCTAAGACTGCGCCAATCTCTGAAAATGTCAATTCTATCAAGGCCCATCAGTGTTCATTGCAAGACGCAGATTGCAATTGTGTCTCACTCTCTGCCAAGCCCCAAACTAAATATCTAGGCATCTATATTGACGAAAAACTTAGTTGGTATGAACATGTTAACGCACTTTGCAATAGGATCAGAAGGTTAATTTATATATTTAAGAATCTTCGCCACTCTGCAAATTTGGATACCTTGAAAATGGTTTACACGTGCCTTTGCCAATCCATTTTAATGTACTGCATACCAGTTTGGGGCGGTACCCATAAAACTACAATGCTACACCTTGAGAGGGCACAAAGAGCAGTGCTCAAGGTTATGATGAACAAACATAGGATGCACCCTACTGTTGACCTCTACAAAGAGTGTAATGTTTTAACAGTGAGGCAATTGTTTGTTCTTCGCACAATGCTTCGGAAACATTCACAACTTCCTCTAGACTCTAATATCCTTAAGCGACGTATAAGTATCCCTGTGTGTCCAGTACCTTTATGTAGAACAGCTTTCGCAGGACGTCAGTATAATTCAATCAGTTGTCGTTTATACAATAAGATTAATAATTCATTAAATATATACAAAATTAACAAACATGAATTAAAATCTAAAATATCAATTTGGTTAAAGTCTCTCACATACGAAGATACGGAAAATCTCGTCAAGAAATAGGCACCACACATATACAATAAACATACATAAATTATTATTATGTATGTCAAAATCATTACCTCATAATCACTCAACTCACACAACACACACACACACACGCACACACACACACACACACACACACACACACACACACACACACACACACACACACACACACACACACACACACACACACACACACACACACACACACACACACACACACACACACACGCACGCACGACACACACACTCGCACGCACACACGCACGCGTGTATTTTTTTTTCTTGTGTATTTCATATTTGTAAAATATATATATATTTTGTAAACTTGATAGTAAACTGTTATCTTTATCAGTTAAAATTATTGAATACTGCTCTGTACTTAAATCCTTGTACTATGTTTTGGGAGAAGACCCTGACATTTAAGATACAGGCTTTGCCTAGTTTAGATGTCAGTAGCTTCATATTAATTGTAGAAGTACTTAACTGTAAGCTTAATTTTGTTATACTGTTGTTATCGAGTGTACTTTAACTTAAAGTTGCAATAAAGATTATTATTATTATTATTATTATATTATTATAGTGTAGTAGAAGAAGAAATTGTAGCGTTGCTCCTATTTAGAGAACGAAAACTACTTTGCGAAACATCAATACGACAAATAAACAGAACACTTTTATAATCTCTTTTTTTGAATGTACTTAGCTAAGAGAGGGCGTGAATCCTCTACCACAAGTATCTTTTTGCTTAAAAGAAGTCCTCAAACTTATACTACTTTAAGAATTATAAAGTATAAGAATTGGAAATATAAACTATAAGAATTGGAAATAATAAAGTTTAATTTCATTTTATTTCACAATTGTGCATGGAAACTTAACATTATCACAGCATGCATATTTTAACATTGGTAATACAAAGGAAGGAACGTTGAAATTTGTGTCATAAAAAAGAATACACAACAAATTGCCATTAATATGAAACTTTTTATGATTAAAAATAAACAAGAATAAATTTAAAAACTTTGTCCAATGTGAAAATACTAATACTAAATACGAAAAGCTATCGTAGTTCAGGATTTCAGTAAATTTTCTCTCCCTAAATGCAGTTGAAAGTTGAAACATGTAAGAAGTTGGCATGGCTTAATACTAGTTTCACAAAATCTAGTAGTAGTGAGGAAAGTTGTTAACTCATATAAAGTTAAAAGTTTAATATATTTCGTAGTGTATCACTGGCTTTACGATTTTTAAGAGA